CCTTCCCTTTTGTGGGCTACGTAGCCAAATTTTCCTTCCATTTGAAAACCCAGTTCTCAGTTCTGCCTGCACCTGGCAGCAGCATCACAACTTTTGTGTGATATTAACTTAATAAAGGAAGATATGTCAGACTTGCAGCATACAGCACTTAGAGGTCACACTGAGATATTAATGTCATTAAGAAAGATAAGCAGGTGATGATCTTTCTTTGCTCTTCAGAATGTCTTGGGAAGGCTCTGAAAAGGCAAAAACCTTTCTTTTTTTTAAAGCTCAAACAGTTCTAGATGCCTTGAAGACAATAAATAAGCAGCAGGTAAGCGAGCATTGCTTTTCCTGCTCTAACAGACTCCCCCTGAGCTGCCAGGGATGTTTGTGACCTCTGGCATGACTCTTCCAGTGGGGCTGCAGAGCCAACACGAGCCCAGGCTGCTGTCAGGGTGCCTTGGACACTATCAGTGTCCATGGAGCTGTTCAGTGTGAGCTGGCAGGGTGGCAGTGCCTTGCAGGGCTTGTTGAGCATTCCTGGAGGCTGCAGATCAGCTCCAGCACTGACAGAGCCCACTGCAGTTCACAGCCCTGCTTTGGCTATGGCTTGTGCTTCAAGTCCATCCCTGGCCAGTGAGTGGCCACAGATGAAAGGAATGGCACACTGGTACAGATGGGTGCTCTGTGACCTGCTTGGGAGAGCAGAAGGGATCTAGCATCAGGCTCAGCTGGAGACTCTAAAAAATGGGCTGAATTTATCCCCGTAGGCAGCCAGTGGTCTGGGAAAAGAGATCTTGCTTAAGGCAACAGATTGTTTCAAAGTAAAAAACACCAAACCCAAGGTGTATGGATTTGGATGGAAGACTTTGTCTTTTAAACTGGACCCCAACACCAAGAAAACACAAATTTTTATTTGTACTGTTTTAGGAGTGGTAACTTTTTTTTTTCCATTTGACTCCAAAATGAGTATCTTAACTTCAGTGGGTTTAAACCAAACAATTGGAATATGTGTACTTGGAGCCAATTCTATAGTTCTAGGAAAGCCAAAGTTGGTTTGTACAGTTTGAGCTTCCTGTAGGAATAAAAAATATTAGTCCCCTGGTAGCATAGCAGTGTATGGCTGTATTGAAATTAGATTTATTGTCCCTTGAGCTTGCTGTGTCCCGTGGTGTTCTAAATACCCTCACATTAACAGTGGGCTGGCTGCAGGGCAGTGAAGGAAAAAGAGGAATGTTCTGCATTGATAAGCTGACACCACACCCCCATGGATGAGATAGTGATTAAAAGGATCCTGGTTAACTCTGCATGGCCCTGTGCTGGGCAGTGAAGGAGCAAAGCCTGGGGTCTCTCTCCTTCTTACCTGGTGCTGCCAGCTGAAACTTTTCTGTTTATTTTAGTATTGGATCCCCACATGACTGTGGAGTTTGATATTTAACTGTATCATGTGTCCCCTTCTAGCAAACTCTGAAATGACTGAATAAAATAGAGTCACAGAGGGCTAATGGGAATTTTGATTTTTGTTGTTTGGCTTTTTTTTGTTGTTGTTGTTAGAGAGCACCATAAAATCTTCTGCAAATTCTGAAGAAACAAAAAAAAAGTGCTGCAGGTGAGGCTTCACTGCCACCTCTCTTTTCAGCACAGGGCTGGTGTTCTGCAGCTCTGGGCCTTGAGTGACATCCTGGGAGGAAAAGCTCTCCTGGCTGGGGGGCTGCTCCCTGCATTTGAACTGAGAGCTGCCTGACCCACCCAGGTAACTTTTTATTGAGATTACTCTTGGTTCTGGCACTGTGAGCTTCCCTTTCCCCTGAGCTGGCTGTAACACAGGCACCAATGACTACTGTAACCTATTAACTTCATTTTGGGGTGAAAAGCTAAAGAAAGCCTCAGTCTGAGCTCATGTATGACATGTTCTTGAGCCTGAGATTAGTGATGGGTGCATTTTGAAAGCAGTGGATTGAGGGCCCAAATGATGAATTGCAGCATTTTTGGGCCCTGACTGAAAATATATCCCAGCAATTTCAAGGGAAAACAGCTCCCACACCAAGGAGTGCAACTGCAGGAGACCCACTAGTGTGTATGTAGTTGGATCCAAGTAAAATTGAATCCAAAGTGGCAGTGGCCCAGGATGAAACTTGATGCTAATTGTACATAAATAGCAGAGGGACTGTCATATGACAGGCTATAATCAATAAAACATTCCTGTTGGGACCAATCTGCATGTCAGGTGTCCTTTCTGGAATGGAGTGCTGGCACTGCTGTGTACCCTGATTTAAGAGTTGTTCAGGATTTACTCCTCACAAAGTTAATTTCTGTTTCTTTTCACTCAAAAGATCTGGACCAAGCAAATGCAACATTCTGTGGTGTAGCTGCTAGGTACTGTATCCATAGTTCTGAGAAAATGATGTGTGTAAAGTGCATTCTTGGGGTAAAATTGACCTTTTCCTCCTAATAAGAAATTTAGGCTCTTTTGTTTCACCTCATTAGTAAACAGAGCTCTGCCTTGGTAGATTGTATTCATGGGGTTTTTTTCTTTGCACAATGTCACATGTCTGGAATTGTTCTAAGACACAAGTGTGGTTAGTAGATAAGATTTTTTAATTGATTTTTTTTTTTCACAAGACAGTTTGGTGCTCTTTGTGATCACATCACAAATACCACATTGAAAATTTGTTTGCTGATTTTTTTGTGAATCCTAATTTCTAAAAATTTGCAGCTACAATTGCTTGTGGCTCTGATACTCTAATAATTTCTGAAACTTGATATGTAGGGAATTTTTTCCTTACTAAAATTATGCAGAATTGTATTAAAATGATAATGGGGGAAAAGTGATGGCTGCTAAGGAAACTGTAGAACCAGGGTTAAGAGGGAAGGTCTCTTAATGGCTAAAGAGTGTGATTTCATTCAAATGAAAAGGAGGAACTCACAATAGAAGTGTCAAGAAGATGGGCACCTGAACTGGAGCCATGAAATACTCTGATATTCTGATAGAGAACACTTTGTGCTTGTGTTTGGGTGAAAGTTCCACTGACTAAAGTCAGTGTGGTCAGATTGACTTTTAAATAAATACCATCTTCCTTTTTGCAGGATCTCATACAGAACTTTGTTACAGGAGTTTCCTACAACACAGTGAAAATCTTATTGTCTAAATGCTTGGAGGGCAGAGAATTGCATGAAAATTGGTACATTATGAAAGGAAGTTGCAGGAATTTTCCTCCAACTTGATACGTTTTGAATCTACTAAAAGGAATTAATTTTAGTCCTCTACACCAAAGAATGAAAAATGCCTGCTGATGAGATGAGCCCTGTTAAGAGCTGCCCCTCCATGTGACAATTCCTGCTGTGCCCCTCTTTGGAGGCTTTTGGCATCCTGCAGGTTTGGGGCTGGCTGCACCCAGGCAGCTCCAGCTGACAGCTCCCCTTGCAGCCACTCCTTCAGCTCTGAGGACACAGTGAGGCAGTGCAGGAGTTTTTGTGGTGCTCTCTCCAATATCCAGTGTTTTCCTCTCCTCCCTGTGCTTGTTTCCCCTGTTCCACGAGGGCTGGGTGAGGCTCTTTTGGAACAGAGCACTGGTGAAGGTCCCTGGGACTTGAGCCCCTCTCAGAAGGGTACAAATAAGGCTTGAAGGGTGCTCTGATTTGGGCCTGGCAGGAATTTATCTGGGGTTGGAGGGATCCTTGGGGATTATCCAGCTAAATATTTAGTTACTGAAGAAAACCTTCTGTTCTCATTTATACCACCATTTATCATTTTTGCTGCTGAGTCACTTATTTAAGACTAAATTTATGATACCTTTTATTAGACCCAGTTTCCATTTAGAATCCTGAAGTATCAAAAGCATAGAATGTATCCTACGTCCAAAAAAGCAAGAAAATATTTTATTTTATTTTAATATTGTAATATTATTAATTTTATAGTATTATTTGTTTTAATATTATATTATTTGATTTTGGTTTTTATTATTATTTTATTCCAGGCAATGCTGGAATCTCTTCCCTGGCCCTCTGAGGAACATCTCAAAGCACAGTGCCCCACCTCAGGCATCATTCACAACTTCCTTCTCATCCAACCAAAGAATCCCTGAGCTGTATTTCCTCATTTCCCCTCTCTTAATAGTCTATTTTCCTTCCCCACCTTCTCACGTTGCTGTCCTGGCATCCTCTTGCCTGTGATATTTATATAGTTCTTAGCTGGAAATGGATTTCTTCTGGACCTCGAGTGGTCTGGGAATTGCATTACACCCCAAGGTGACTTTCCCTGCAGTTACAGCTCTGCTCCCTGTGCTGGCAGGCACCAAAGTCCTGCCTCTACCCTGCTCTTGTCATGTGATGCCTTTTTCCTCTTAAACGAGGGATTTCCTTGAAACAATTGTTATTTTTAGCCTCACATCACCTGACAGTTTCTCATGTTGCATTTTGATTCAGCTCTTTCATCCAAAAAGGTGAAGAAACTGTCACTATTTTACCACAAAACTGTTGGTGTTTGCTGTTTAGGAGTCCTGAGCTCCTGGGATTGTCACAGACCTCTTGGGATGAAATTCTAATATAATTCTGAAAGAGGAATATAGATTAAATTAGTGAAATTTGCCTTTAAAAGTTTTCCCTTTCATGTGATAATCTGATTAGAACTGAGGCACTGTTCCATATTTTATTACCCACAGAAGAGAGGTTTGTGCCAGGTTCTTGCCTCATGTTTGATTCAGATGTTTGTGAACTGTTGGTAACTGGCAAAACATCTCAGTAGGGTTATTTGCATGGAGCTTTCTGAGCATTAATAATACTTCCCTAGAAGAAAGTAAACCTTTTTTTAAAGGCTCAGAGCCTTTATTTCCTTTGGATAAACATAGAACTTTTCACATCACTTCCAAAGTGCAGCAAGACCATTTCTCTTGTGATTTTTTTCTTTTTTTCTTTATGGATTGCCATGAATAACAATGGAGTTATGACTCTGCAGCTCAGTGTCAATCCACTGCATAAACTCACCTGTGCTTTTGGAGAGGGCAGGGTGGTGGCTGAATCATGACTTTCTTTTCTTTCTAGGAATGATTAGCTCATTTTATACATTTCAAATAATATTTCCAAGCTGGTTTAAAGACAGCATTGGTGTTTGTACCTTAGATAAATGACAGACATTTGACTGTGCAACCCAAGCATAATATTTGAAGAGAGGGGGATCAAAACTACATCAGCTTCAACTTGAAATGATTTCTGTCAGTACTCACTTCTTCACTGTGTTGCATTTTTTATTAACCTGTTTTGTCTCCTTAAATTTCTTTGGATAATAGAACACAGTGAAGAGCATTTCAGTGGAGTTACTGGAGGTGATGGGCCTGACTCACCATGACTGAAACTTGGAAAGAATTATGATCTCTCTAAAAGTTAGTCGCACCAGAACTGTCCAAATCTTATCTGGGCACCTAGGAGAGATGAGAGTCCCTCTGCTCAGGAGAATGGGATGCAATAGTGGTAGCACCCCATGGAGCATGAAGGAATTGCACAAGATGCAGACAGAGGTGTTGTGTGTGTTTCATTGCAGGCACTGGGAACTTCTCAAGGCAAGAACAGGCTGTTTGGAAAGTTGGTATGGTATGGATCCTACTGGGAATAATAATAATAATTAGAAAAAAAGGATTTCTTGGTTTTTAGCATGAGGCAAACTTCTTGTCAAAGGTGCTGACCAACTGAGTTGAAATATGTTTGTATTTGGTGTGGGATCTGAAAGTGTTGAACCTTCTAAAAGCTTTCATGCTGCTGAATTCACCCTGCAGGGAAAGTCACTGGAAGGCTGGGACCTGTTGCTCAACACAGAAAGAAGCAGAGCACAATAAAATTTTGAGCCTCTTCCCCTTAGGCCTCAAGGCTCCAAATCCTGTGGAAGGCTGGGCTTTGCTGAATGATGGGGGTGATGATGGTGCATTCCCTGCTCAGGAAGCAGCTGCTAGGGCTGGCACTGGGATGGGGCTGGGAAGTGGAGATGATTCCAGAGCCCTGAGGATCTTCTGGCTCCTTTCCTGCCTCACAAGGCCTTTGGAGAAGCTCCTTTTCTGCAGCAGTGAGGATGGCATGTGGGTGGAGCTGGGCTTTCAGGAATGCTCTGGAGCACATGGGATGCTGGGCATTGTTTTCTCTCATGGAAACAGTTATGATTTCTCTCTCCCTTCTCCTCCCTGTAGTGGGATGCTGGGCATTGTTTTCCCTCTTGCCTCCTTCTCTCATGGAAACAGTTATGATTTCTCTCTCCCTTCTCCTCCCTGTAGAACTGGAGCATGTGTTCCACTGGGCACTTTCAAAGCAGGTTAAGGGGTTGTCTGGTGCTTAAACATCAAAATAATGTCGTGACCTAGTGGGTAAAAGTGGGTTTGGGGCCAATGGTGTGATTCCAGGCAGTTCTTGTGGAATGGATCTGCCATCAGCCCCTTGGACCTTCCTCCTCTGGTAAATGATCTGTTTTCAGGTGATGCCACCCAGCTGTAAATGTTGCTGCTTGTTCACATTACCCTGCAATTCCTTCATTTTGGTTTTCTGCTTGAGTGGGACTGCAGCAGAGTTCTGACACAATCTCAGCCAGGGTAAGAAAAAAGTATTTTCAGATGTCACCAACCACCACATTGGTTCATGCATATCTTAGCTCCCAGTCCTCAAGTGCTGGTATTTTTGACACAATAAAGGGGGTTTATTTGCTGTTCATCTATACACAAGTTTGTGGAGAGAAAATGGGGCATTTTTGTGCACATCAACTGTAAGTCCTTTATTTTAGTTCTTGTCTGACAACAGAGAAAAGGATGCAAGAGAATAAAGGTCAGTAGAGGGGGAAAAATACTGATGGCTTGAGGTGGTCATTATACACAGATATGACTGTGTTATACCTGCTTAATGCTTTACTTTCTCTGTGATTCTGAGCCTGCAAACCTGATGGGAAATTTATTTTCACATTGACAACTGGAGCACATGTTGTTTAGACATTTTATATACTCATTTTACAGCATGAGCAGTAGGTTCCCTCCAGCTTGCTTTACTAGTACTGGTTTTTGCATGGCTGGAGTTTTCTTGTAACAGATAATCCCTTCTGGGATGAGTAATGGCACAGAATATTGGAGTGGTTTTCTTCCTGAGCAGTCAAGGACAAAGCAAAACAAAAGAAATGTGAGCAGTCACACCCAGTGTTGCATTTTTGTGATCATTATGTACAGGGCACTGCTCTTGAGAACACACTTGGAGTCAGTGTGGGATTTTCAGCCTCAGTACTTTCCATGTGGCCAGAACTGGATTGAAGGTTTTTAGGATTTGCCATTTGTGATATCTCTTAAACACCAGTTCAAGGGAGATACACAAGAAGTTCCACTGGTGTTCTGTGTGCACATCTTTGAAGGATCACTTGGACATTGCCTATCGAGGTGCTGAGCATCCTTTTTTTCTCCAAAAAAACCCCCAACAAACCAACTTTCATTATTGCTTTGCAATAAATAACTTTTCATATCGCTCCTTTAAAAAATCCCTTTTTCCTCCTGTTTAATTTTGTCAAAGGCCCAATTACAAGTGGTGTTCAGTGCTCACATTTTGAGATGTATTTAGGCACAGAAAGACCTTGGAGAGTTTTCAGGAGTGTTTAATATTTGGAATGTTTTCTCACATCCCAGTCTCTTCTGTGCTGCTCAGAAAACAACTCCTGTTGAGAGAAAAGAGCAGCTGAATTCCAGTGACTTTCTCCTGTTTAGCTGGAGAGAGTGAGGCTGTCAGGACTTGTTCTCAGTGTCAGCTCAGTAATTCAGTGTTTGTTTCCCTGCTCTCTGGGATCCTGAGGAGGAAGTACATAATATGGTGTAATTTGAGTACCACTCTCTAGTCCTGCTCCTTCTGACCAGAAAACTGCTTTAGATCACAGAGGAGCTCTCAAATGCATTTATGCTCCTGTGCAGGGCCACTCCCTGTGTTTATTTAACAGCACTTCGAGTTGCTGAGCACCAAAATAAATTATTTGCAGAAAACCCCTGACATTTGTCTGTGATAAATGTGAACCTGAAGATTTCCCCTGAGCTATGTCTAGCATGAACTTTATTCATGTTTATGCAATTGAAATTTTGGACAGATTTTTGAGGATGTAACGTTTCCCATTACATGAGAAAAACTTAAGGTTTTGATTTACAGTTTGTTTGCTGCTTCATCATTTCGGTATCCTACATTTACAAGTGTTTAGCAAGAAGTTAAACACTTTAAATCAAAGATTGTTCATAGAAGTTAATAAAATAGAGGCAGAACCTTTCTCTCACCCTGTCCGCGGGTGTGTCTGGCAATTTGCACATTTATCAGATTCATTTCCATCAAGATAATTAGTTGCAGAGGTTTGATGAATTGTAGTGTGACCAGAGATGGTAAATATTTGGTAAATATTACCAAATTTGTGAGGGTTTTCATTATTATTAGGCTAAAGCCACTAAGAGTTAATTTGAATGTTCCAGAACTTTGGCGATTTGATTTTTTTTTTCCCCAAACCATGTATCTGGCATTTACTTGTCCTTTTATACTGACAAAGTTTATAAACAATAATGCAGCTGTATAAAAATGAGTCACTATGGGTTTTTAGCCTCCAACTCTTTTAAATCGATGCTAGAATAAATTTGGCAGTAGATCACAGGTTTGTTCAGAAGATGAGGCTGACAATTACCTACAGAATGGTCTGTTTAGCACTATCCTTAATTTGTGGGTGTGATTTCTATGGTCAATAGATACCAATTCTCTGATTGTGTCAGCACAGCTGAAAGGTGCAGGCAGGAATGGTTGGTCAAAGGTAATAAAAGTTTCATGGCATTTTATTGGGGGGACTTCTGGAGAGTTGCTCTGCTTCTCCCAGAGTAACCACAGGAAAACACCAGAAGTTTTGAGAAATTCCAGAATTCAGGTTTGAATAAATAATTGCTCAACTATTAGCCCACAAATATTTTGCTACTTGTCAAACTTGCTAATTAGCAGTTTGCCACTCTACAAAGCAGTTTGCCACACTCTGAAATACTGGGAAGGGACTGAGCTTTAAGGCTTCATTGTGCTGGGGTGGCCAAGCCAAGCCTTTGTGCAGAGCTGCCACCTTCGGTGGGGTTAGGAGCTCACAGAGGTTTGAAACTTTAAGGTTGGACCAGCTGCTGTCAGGTTGGGTGATGCCTCACTGGGTGTTCTGGGTGTGAAAAGCGACTCTGAGCTTTCAGAAGTCTCTTGAATGTTTGTGCTGTTCAAACTTTTCAGAAAAAAAAGCCTCATTAAGGAGCTGGTACTCTGTGTTAGAGAGGAAGTTTTGCATCAAGAGTGGTGGCCAGGACAAACAGCAGCTGTGAGCAGTCCCTTTTAACCTCATTGCCCTGTCACTCCTCAGTGGGCATTACTAAAGGTGAGCTTTGACAATTGGAACACCACTTGTTTCTAAACTGAAGAATTCAATCTTACCCTAATGTGATTCCCCTGGCTTTTTTATGCCACACCACCCTCTGACCCTTGCTGGGGGAGGCTCCTTCTGGAAGAGCAGGCATCTGTGTAAGTTACAGAAATCTGATATAAGAAAATACCTCAAATATATTCTTTGATCTTTAAATAGAGAAATTTACCTAGGTGTCGTAACTGTAGTTGATCAGCAAAAGAATTTATTTTGCTGTGCCTTGGCAGAGTTGCTTCAGTGGCCTTGCACATCTTGCAGGCACTGCACTCACCTGTGCTTGCAGCAGTGGCAGTCACTGCAGCCTGTGAACACTGCATGGGGAATTCCCTCCAGTGCAGGCATTTGGAGAAGATCCCTCTCCCCTGCAAGCAGAGCAGATCCCATTGGTATCCTGGAGGGAAGGACTGCTCCAGAACAACTTGTCTCTGTTTCAGTGACAGCTTTGAGTTCAGCCAGAGACAAGCAGGGATTCAGCTCTTTACTAACATACAATTTATATGGTTTGGTTTGTTTTTTTTCCCCCCCACAGGGGTGATTTTCAGTGGTAGCACAGGTGGGTTGGGGTTCCCCTGAGTTCTTTAGGGACATTTATCAGTACAAACCCATCAACTGTTCTGCTGTGACATTGCCTGTATCTACAGCCATGTGGAATCCAAGAGCTTTGTTTGCAGCCTTGGATTCCAGATAATTCTGTGGTTTCCAGCAACTTCAGATAGCCTAGAAGGATATCTAGGATCATTTGGGTAAGAGGTAAAAAAAAAAATTACAAATCAGCCATAAACTGAAAATGGCACCTAGTTGTCATTTAGAAATGATTCTTGAATATTTGTGGTCATGGGCACTGAATTGTCTCAGTGAAATATGTTTTCATCTTCTGCTAATTTACTTATTCAGTTTTAAAGCAGTAAGAATCTAAACCCATGAGAAGTTACTATAACAACCCAGTAGCTACAGTGACATCTTGTTAAAATAACCATGTTAGCAGTGGTCCTAGTGGTGAAGGACTCCTTATCTTACTGGAATGACATTTTTGCAAAGAACCCTGCATTATTTGGAGCATGTTAACTCTGTTCCAGATGTTTTACCTCCCCCTGATAATCAGAAGTTGTGACATGAAAGAAATGCAGAAATAACTGCATCTCTGCCTCTTTTTTGTTGATCTCATGAAGGTGTCAGCCACACGTGACCATATTGCCTGTGAAAGCAAGGGAGCAGAAGTAAATGCCTCAATTAATCATTGCAGGAAAAAATCCAGACCTGTAAGCATTGTGCCCAAGTGAGGAAGTGAGGATTAAACCTCAGGAGCAGCCAATGCTTTAAACATTTCCATGAAAAGGTCATGTCCACGTGGCCTGGAGCCAATGTCACTTATCCTGGCTTTTGTATTCCCTGTCAGTCACAAAGGGGAACACACACATGCTGGAAGAAGGTAATTGTTGCAGATTAAAGCCTCATATGAAATGAAAGAGCCATCAAAATTCTTTATAGTTGCTTGGCATGAGTTCTGATAATGCAGAGTTCTCTTTTATTATGATTTCCAAATGCAGCCATCAGGCACAGACTAAACAAAAGTCCCCCAAGACAATGGGAGCAGCCTGTGAGTGGAGTGTGTGGAAGTGCTGTGCACAGCTGGGGCTGGCAGGTGAAACACAGGCACACAAGTGCTTGCTCAAATAGGAAAATTTAGATTTCTTTTACTTTCCTCCCCACCCTGTGTAACTCTATCTCGTATTTTAGCTGCAGATACGATTTTTCATTTTTGTTCTGCCATATTTTAGATCTATCTACTAGCCTTTATTTTACAGAGAAACATATTTTTCTCTTGTTGGGACAATAAAAAAGGCCAAATTTCCTGGTCCTGCATTGCTACTTATAAAGGAAACTGAAAAAATAGTAGTCATTAAACTTATTTCTTGTGAAACTCACATGCAACACCTATTTTTGGTACATTTTATGTGATGTTAAGACATTTATAAAAGACACATTGATTATTTTCTTCAGGGTTGTGCTTGAATAAGTTACACACCAAGGAGGAATATAGGACTTTTTCTTGCAGTCATTAGACATTGTGCAGCTTTATTGCTTGTTCCATTCGAGTTTTGCACAGGTGTTGACCCCTCTGTTCCTGGTTGAAGTCAGTGAGTGCTCTGAGTGCACACAAAAAATGCAACCCAGGGAGGCTTCCACCTGCCCAGTCCTCAAGGAAATGTCAGCAGCCACTGATGGCAAGAGGCTTCCTAATTCAGAGGTGATTGTTTTTGCTTTGATGCTTTTTAGTGCCTTTGTTGGTATATTCTGATCAGCATGATCCCAAAATAAAACTAATTCAGGCTGACAGATGCTGTCACACGTTCAGTGTGAATGGAGTTCACGGAGATTTTGCAGTTTTAAGTTACTTAATACTAAAAAAACAACTGCTAAAACACTACCAGCAACTTTTAAGTGATTAAAAGCTAAATGTTATGCTCAGTTTTGTAAATGCAAGATTTTAAAGCTCAGCAAAACTTTTAAATACCAATTAGAAAAATATCTTTTAAAGGATTTTTAAAGAAATTACAAAAATGTCAACTGAAGTCAATTTTTCTGCTTGAATTTCTGCCAGAATCATTCAAATTTTTGTCATTTCTTTTTTTTTTCTGAGCACTTTTTGATTTAGACAGCTGTGGAATTTCCTGTTTTGTTTTTGTTTTGCTACTGGAGCTAAAGCAGCCAACAGCCAAGGTCGTTGTAGAAAACCAGACTTTCAGTGGAATTGAACAAATGCATGCCCTCCCCACGTCTGCAGCTTCTGTTCTTCTGTTCCTTTTGTGGTGATTTAGTCTTTCCAGTCTGCATGTTCACTCATCTTCATTGTCTGCAGCTTCTGTTCTCTGACCAATTTCCTTTTGTGGTGATTTAGTCTTTCCAGTCTGCATGTTCACTCATCTTCATGTTTCTTCTTGTCCACAGCGAGCCCTGTTTCCCTTTGCAGGGCCTGTTCCAGTGGGGGATGTGTATTTTTAATTATCTGCTGTCCTTATGTGAAGAGATTTGTCCCTGCACTGTATGAATGTACTCCTGCTTGTTCCTTGGTGAGTACCCATGCACAGCAATCTTATCAAAGTTGTAATTTACTTTCTCCAAACATTTGCAGCTATCACTGCTACATCTGTAACAGAAATTCCTTGGTAAGAACACTTGAAACTAGTCCAGAGTTGCTTTAATTTTTGAATTGTGTCTGTGCACAGATCAGTTTCAGATTTTAAAGAGCTTTTTCTGTAGCTACTGAGATTCATTTTTCCTGACACTTTTCCATAGCCATTACCCTCATCAGTAGGATATAAGAACAACGATGATGATGATAACAATAGCAACTTATTTATTCATCCTTAAAATACAGTTCTTTCTGTTTTTAAGAGGTTATTCAAAAGATAAGAAGAGCATCCAGAGAAAATGTTTGTTAGTAATATAGTTTCAATAGACACCCATTGCACAAACTTCCTTTGTCTGGGGCTGCTTGGCCAGCAGGATCACTTATCCCAGTTTTAGGGGAGCTACAAAGCTTTTTGTGGGAATCAGACCTCTCCCTCTTACATAACACCAAGGTTTTGTAAGAATTGTAAAAAGCTGGTTAAAAACTGCACCAAAAAAAGTCCTCAGAGTTCTGGTTGTAACTGCTCAGAAGGTGTTGCACTGCATTCTTGGGCTTTATCAATTGCTTGTAAACATCCTTAAGCACTTGGTGCTGAGGAATCAAAGTCTTTTTCTCTTAGTGCTATTTTTAAACACAAAAAGACCTCTCTGCTAGGTGGCAAAAGGATTTTAAGCTTCTACTGGCTGTGTTAGAAGAAAGAACTTCCCTTAAGCCACTGGTTGCTGCCTGTATATTAATGCTTAGCAGGTTATTTCAATAGCATGCAAATTAAATTAATTTTCTATATTTGTTGCTGTTGAATTTACAGTGATAGATGTGAGTTTTTTGTAAGTTCTTGGGCTCATTTCTGTCCATAGCTGAGTAGAATTGCAGATTACACAAGCTTTTCTAGTTGCCAACAAAATGATGAATCAAGTTCACAGCACGAGTAGCCCATGAAGCAGAGCAGGAACTGCAGGAGAATGATCTTGACACCTGCAGGTTGGAGAGAATCTGGTTTTTAATAAAAAGGAGTACAACCCCTTTGAACTCCTGTGCCTGTAAATAAATCCCCCACCCCAGCAGGGGTGTCTGGGACAGTGAGGGCTGGGCAGCAGACCCCATATCTCAGCTGGGGTCAGCAGAGTCAAATAAGGGAATGGGAGACAGGGAGAAATGTCTGATACTCCAGGCATGCTGCCTGCCAACAGAAAGCAGAGCTGCCCTGAAAGAGGATTTAGCAATTTGCTCTGCTGGTTTGAGAGCCAGTGTTCTGCAGCACTGGAGGTTGGAGTGGTTCATGCCTTCATCGGGATGGTTTGGGTGGAAAGGGTTCCCCCTGTACCCACTGCAGACATGCAATGGGAGTTTTGCTGTAATGACTCTAATGAGCCCAAGATTTGATTGCACATCTTCTAATCCCACATTTCTGGGCTGATTCATGGCTCCATTTATTCCTCTTTGACCTTCTGGAGCCTGGAGGAGGCAGATTTGGCTTTTTGCCATATTTGTCAACATTAGTAAAATCAGCATCTCTAAAACTTCTTGAATTCTGGGTAGTTTAACAGAATATTTTAAGCACAAGGAATCTGAAAAACACTCATGTGCCTAAATCATTCTGTCTTTTAAAAATGTGTATTTTGAGAGAATTTTGGTGTAGAGTGTTTAGTTTGAAAGATGCCACTAAGAACTTCTTAGTGCTTGGTACAGTTTGAGGAAAAAAGATTGGGAAAACAGATTGCAAACCTGAAAACTGCGGGAAAAATTGTATAGTGAGGCTGTAGTTAATATTTGTTTGTAAATAGGCATTGTCTTATTTCCAAAATCTGCCTTAAAATTTTTGCCTTGCAACATTATTGTAGCTGATAATGAATGGAGCTGAGCTTGACTTAGGTTCGGTGCTTTATTGGGCTGGAATAGATGAGATGCCTGTTCCTAAAATGTTAGAGCAAGAAGCTGTCTGAGGTCTTTGAAAATAAAGCTGTAGGGAGAAATTAGAAGCAAAATATGTGTGAATAACTTATAATCACTGTCAATGCTTGGCAAAACAATTTTTTTTCTTTCTAGTGATCTTTAATAGCATTTATACTCTATTCCAAGGTACTGCTTTGTAATTTGAAAATGCCAACTTTGTTGTTTTATGGTAAAAACCTTTCACTCTTCAGTGAGAGATAATTTCCCCTCTCCCAGCTTTCTTTTTTCAACCGGGAGCCTTGTGCAGCTCCTTGCTGTCTGTGAGCCTTTTGTAACCAATTCCAAAGCACACTCAAATCTTGTCAGCAGCGGAGCTCTTTGGAAGGCACCCCAGGACAGACAAAAGATGCTCATGCAGGAGTGCATAAGGTCATTTAATCAGCGTGCTGCCTTCTGAAGGGATGGGTGACCCTCTGAGGGCTGGGCTGAGCTGTGACTGCTTCACAGCGAGATGAAATTTCACTTTACAACTCCTTATGGGTAGTGGATCTTTAACTTCCCTCCCTGCCCGGGGTGTCCTGTCCAAACCTCGGGTCTGCTCCCCACTGCTCCTGCCATTGAGCAGAAAAAGCCAAGGGATGTGTGGAAGTACCTGCAGAGCAGGGAAATCTGTAGGCTGACCTGGGCTGGGTTTGAAATAGGTTCAACACAATCAACCAACTACCACCTTAACATGCTGCATTCAATAGCACAGAAAAATTGCAGAGACTAGAAAATGAAAAACTCATCTCCAGATCATCAGCATCAGGCAAGAGAGGAAAAAAATCCAAATTAAACAGTAGCATGTTTCTCATCCAGAAAATTTTGTCTAGAAATACCACGAGCTGACTTTTTGAATCATCACACCAAGTACAGGGCTATGTCTGCATGTAAGGCTCTGTCTGGGCAAACTCCACATTTCAGTAAACTCCGTGTTAAATTGGGTGGTGTTTGTTCTGAGTTCTTTTCCACATATTGAACTTGTGCTGTCTTTAAATTACAGACTTTTACTGTATCTTTATTTATATAATATTTATAAATATTATATAAACAAATATATTTATTTATAGAATATTATATTTGTTTTTATAGTATTATATAAATAACAATAATATTATGCTTCATAGTATTTATTTTATTTATATTTATTACTATATTCTTTACTGTATCTTTAACTGGGAATTCTGTGACAGTAATAAATGGGTGAAAGTGGGAAGTTTGAGGACAACCTGCAACTAAAGAGGCACAGACACCTTCTGGCCCTCTTCAGGAAGCTCAGTTTTGTCTGGTACAATTTGGCTTTTTGAAACGTTTTTCTGGTACTTGTAGACTGAAAGGGATTTTGGTTACCATATCTGGAAAGCACTGGGATGAAAATTACCCTGGCAAGTCCTTCGAAGACCTTTGCAAGCAAAGTTTTCCTTTGTCATATCATCAGAAAATGCTGTGTAAGAGAATGTTTGCACCTGCTGTGTCTCCCGTAGCTGTCCTGAGCTCAGCACTGGATTTTGTGTTCCTATTTTTAAAAGCCGTCTTGCTAAATAGGTTCAGAGAATGTTCCCTCTGAAGGGAAGGGAACAGCAGAGCGCCGTCGGTGAACTTGGCACGCCTTGTATCAGCTGAGAGAGTGAAAGGAGGCAGATAAGAGAGCTGAATAAATCAGCAGGGCTCTGTGTGCACCATACTGACTTGCAGCTCCGAGGAAAAACTCTTTTTAAGTCTTTCATGTAGCGTGAATCACCTGAGGGAGGGCTGGAATCCTCTCTGAAGGAATTTATCTTACCTGCTGCTTAAGATGGAACAGATAAACTTAAGGAAAATGCCTGGCTTGGCTGGCAAGCGTTGGAGTGAGTGTCTGCAGAAAGAGATGGCAAAGCAGGGGGACTGCAGCCAGCCTTGTGCCTGCTGCCTGCCAGCCTCGCAGTCCCTTTATAGAAACCAGCAGCCCTCCCTGGAAAAAGAGCCAAGGAGTTGTTACAGCTTTCAGGAAGGCAGGGAAAACAACGGGAAGGGAAAGCCACCCAGAGCTCCTGTTTGGACAAACTGTGTGTGATCAGGCTGAGTGTGTTTGGGGGAAGAAGTGGGGAAAAGTAAAATTACAGCTGAGTGCTGCCACCCCCTCCCCAGTCTTTTTTTAATATGTGTTCAGCAGCGATTCACTGCAGGGCTTGTCTGTGCTTAAACTTGCCTGCTTTAATTAAACTGATCATTTAAATTGATGTTAATACCTGAGTGTGTGCAAGCATTCAGTATTTTGTATGAGTTCTGTGTGCCTCTGTAAACTACAAAGCAGATTTAACCTGTTTGATGAATATTCCCAAATGTATTTGGAGAGTCTAAATTACCAGCAACCAGTTTTTCCCAATCTTTCACTTTGTGTGTGTGTAAATGTTCTGTTTTGGGAAGTGTGTTGTGCTGACAGTTCATTTGGGATTATTCATGCTGCAGAGATTCATTCTGAAACTCTAAGTAATAGGAAGTCTTTCTGTGTCTTGATCTTTGAGCCTTGTCTTGATTTATGGTGACTTCTGGGAACTGGGCAAAGATACTGGACTGGACTTCCAGGGAAAGGCAATTGCTTGCTTACTTTTGTCTGACATTTTGTAGTCTGTGTGCATATGAAGGATCTAGAATCTGTCATTGATTTCTCCTCCAGCATGAGACTGGCAGAACTGCAGCTTGCTGCTTGGCAAAATGCTGATCATGGTGCCAGAGCACACAGCCATCCCATTTATATATGGATTGAAAAATGGAAGTGGGAGCTGCATTAAATGAAGTGGCTTTTAAGGGAGAAAAGCAATAATGAATCTAAATAAATGATACAGAACCTCTCTAAAAGGATCATAAAAATATAAGAAAGTAGTAGTGTGGGCTGTTTCAGTGGTGTGATTTAAGAGTGAGAATCCATACAAGATGAAATATTTAGAGAGATGGAAACTTGCAGTGGCAATGAATATTATCAGGTGAGAGCAAATGTGGGGAATGTGAAAAAGTTCTCACCACTTGTATTTGTAACAACATGGGGGAGTTTTATGCCTGTTTGTACTGACACACGTTCCTGTATCCAGTGTGAACTACCAGAAGTACATAAAAGTACTTTATCAAGTCCAGCTGCAGGGTGGCAGATGCACAGCAACAGAGAAGGAGAAAAGGAGCAGTGGTAGCAAGTTCTGGGTGGCATGAGTGGAATCATTCCAACGTGCAGGTGAGAAACATCTTCATCTCTATTAATTTCACTGGAGGCTGTTATTTGCTTTTGTTTGTTGTACATTTAATGAGCATTTCAGGAGGGAAATTGAGAGGAAGGCAGCTGGGAAAACTATTTTGTTTTTTAATATGAACTAACCTAAGTTGTAGTCTGGGTTAGTCTGCCACCACCATCCAAAATTATCATTTTTCTTATGACTGAAGAAAATCCTCAGTAGGGCTGTGCTCCACAGGAGGGGTCTCATCCAGTGAAAAAATCTCTGGAGAAGATCTCCACGTTTTACATCCACACGAGGTGACTCGACCATGCAGGACTGGGAGCAGACCTCAGCCTGGATCGTGGAATGCACAAAGCAGCTGTTTTGCCTATAAATAAACCAAGAGCCTCTTCTCCAGCGAGGCTTTTTTCCCAGATATGCCGTGGAAATGAGCTGCCACTTTAACTGTTGGTGTTTAGAGTTAAGGTATGTGGTAGTGGCAGCATTCACATTCTGAAGTGTGAAAGTCACGCTGGCATCAGGTTTCAGCCTTGTCGTGGTGGAACCGCTGTGCTGCAGGAGTTAAATCTGTCAGCCTTCCTCTCCCTAACCCCCGAGTGCCGAGGTTTGTGTCTTAGCTGGAAAGCAAAACTCCGCTGCACTTAGCCAAAAACATCTCCATGCACCAGTGATAACTTTGTTTTCATCTCTTTGTAAATGCCTACATATTTTTAATATTTTAACAGAGAATTTTACTGGGGGAATATCTACTTAATCTCCTGGGCTGCTTGGGTTTTTTAAATTTTTTTTTTTTTTTTTTAATCCTTGGATTTGTGGTTTGGTTTTGGTTTGTTTTGTGTGGCTTTTTTCCTCTCGTGTTTCATGTGGATCCAGGCAGAAGCAGCAGTGGGAATCGCACGGATCTTGCGGGCTGGCTCAGTGCCTGGGGACAGAGCCACTGGCTGTCACCAGGAGCTCAGGTTCTCGCACCAATTTCCAATTTACTGCCTGTGAATCAGCCCTTTGGTTACCCCAGAGCAGCAGCGCTCCCCGCTCTCCCATCACCTGTCCCGGGCAGGGAGCAGCCCACCCCTGCTGATCCTGCAGGTGCGAGACCAGCAGCGTTTTTCTGGGAATAAAGCTCCGCATGGACACAGCTCCGGCTCCGCTGGGCCGAGCAAGCCGGGGCGGGAGGAGAGGCAGGCAAGGCAAAGGATGGAGCTCGGTCCCTCTGGGGAGAGCAGCAGCTCCCGCTCCGGCTCCTGAGGGAAGGAGCAGCGCTGGGACGGGCAGCCCTGCAGCGCTCTCGGCCGGGCTCCCGCTGCCTTCCCTTCCCTCCCCGGGGCCGGCCGGGCTCCCCCTGCCCTGCCTTCCCTTCCCTTCCCGGGGCCGGCCGGGCTCCCCCTGCCTTCCCTTCCCTTCCCTCCCCGGGGCCGGCCGGGCTCCCCCTGCCTTCCCTTCCCTTCCCTCCCCGGGGCCGGCCGGGCTCCCCCTGCCCTGCCTTCCCTTCCCTTCCCGGGGCGGGGCGGGCTCCCCCTGCCCTGCCTTCCCTTCCCTTCCCTCCCCGGGGCCGGCCGGGCTCCCCCTGCCTTCCCTTCCCTTCCCTCCCCGGGGCCGGCCGGGCTCCCCCTGCCTTCCCTTCCCTCCCCGGGGCCGGCTCGGGGCCACGGCTGCAGCTCCTGGCAGAGCAGCTCCCAGCGCTCGGCTGGGAGGGACGGGAGAAGCTGGCATCCTTGTCCTGAGGGGCAGCTGGACACCAAGGGCAGCACAGCGCCTTTTAAAGGGGCTATCTGCCAGTTTTGGGCACAAGGCACAGATCTTCCTCAGAGGAGCTCTGTACCCCTTCACCCTCTTTCTCTCTCTCTTCACCCCTCTTCTCAACAGGATAGCCAATTAAAAAAAAAAAAGTTTTATTTAATAGGTCTTAGCTTCTTGTATTTTCTTTGTGGCTTCTGAGATTTTGCACTCACTTGGAGAAAAATTTGAGGGGTTGGCAGTAGGTGATCTTTGAGGTTCCTTCCACCCCAAAGCATTTTGTGGTTATATTTCTGTGATTTGTCTATCCAAACTGGTAATCCAGTTCTTCCTTCACTGCCTTAAGAAAACCAACAGAACAAAAAAAATCCACAGCTGTTGTTTTTCTCTATTAAAAACCCCCAAACAACAACCAAACAAAAATAAAAACAACCCCTCAAACTACACTAAAATACTTAACCATAGTGGCTGTCACACAGGCAGGTCTAGCCAGGTATTAGTTCTAAATTTTATTATATTAACCCAAAGGAGGTTCTTTAAGCTTTTCTTCTCTGTTTAGCCACACAGATCTCAGATCTGAGCTGAGCTTACATGCTGGCAGCCCTGTCTTCAGATGAGAAATTTGTTAATAGAATATTCGGTCTTTATTTCTCTGACAAAAGAACCCCCCTTCTCTGCCATAACCACTTGTGTCAGAGGTGTTAATGTTAATGACAGCACTTTTCTGATTACAGTTCTGCATTGGTTAAAAGGGTCTTTCAAATAAGTCTGATCTCCAACAAGGAGAGGATGCAATGGGCCAGATTTCTGCCAGCACATTTTGCTGGGGACAGGGCATTTCTTCCTTCTCTGTGTCCAGCCAGGCCCCTCTCCAGGCCAGGTTTGCTGGGCTGGCAGCTGTGCCTTTTCTTGTTGGGCAGGCAGGGGACATTGAATGTTCTCCCTGCTGGTCCCTGTGCCCAGGGAAACAGGCAGGGCCCAGCCTGGGGCTCAGGGCAGAAAGGATGCTCTGTTGGTAAGGTAATGGGGTCTGCAGCCTCCAGGGAAACCTGTAATGGGGTCTGCAGCCTCCAGGGAAACCTGTAATGGGGTCTGCAGCCTCCAGGGAAACCTGCCAAAGCCTTTCTCTAGTAGCTGTGGGGATTAGCCAAAAATCGATAATCAAGGCAGTCACCAGGGGAAGGGAAAATACATCTTCAAGGGAAGCCAAATTCTGTGAATGCTCCATGAGAGCAATCATGGCAGGATTTAGGGTAATTGTGAGGCAAACCAGATTGAGGAAAATTGTTTTAAAAGAGACCCCGAGCTGGCAATAGGGACCACATGTTCTTTCTTATCTCTGCAGAAGTGGCCATCTCTTTTAGCATAGTGACCCATGTGAGTGCCTGCCACAGACTTGATTTTTAGCATCTACAAACACACTTGCAGTGAAAATAATAAATTGCCCCAAATGAATATGTTCCATCAGTTTTTGTGGCTTTGGCCTTGTTTCACCTCTACCAGACTGTGAAGTGTGTTGTTGTAATCTGCAACGTGCAGGAACATTGGGATAGATTTCCTGAAGTCAGGGAACTCTCCTTTTATGGCAGGATGATTTTGGCTCATCTGTTGTTCCATGTTCTTCCTCCCAGGTGGGCTGGAGTGATGATGTCTTCTCTTTAAACACCAATTTGTCTGTGTTTGTCTATGTTTTAACACTTTGTCCTTGCAGAAAAGCAGAGATTGCTCTGAGCACTGAAATCTCCCTTTGGCTGCAGTGCTGTTGCAGTCAGGAATATCAGCTATGGAAGGGAGCTCCTTAATTATGCCTTTTAACACTGCCTTAATAATTGGATCTGGATAGGCCTTCAGAAACACTGACTTTTGTTTCATTTCCAGGGACAGATTTGTACTCAAGTTGCTTCATTGCAGTGTCCAGGAGCATCAGCCTTCAGGCTGCCATGTGTTTAGATTTCACCATGAAAATGATAAGAAATACATCTACCTCCTCATAACAGGTGACCTGTGAGGCATTTTTGTGGCTTTTAAAATGTTTGCTTCCACACAATAAGAGTGAGTTTATAGAAAGTTAGGCTCGGTGTTTTGGCAGACATCTACATGCTGTTAAAAACCCTGTCAATTCATCTCAGAAGTGGCAAGGAATTGTGGTTTATTGTATTTTGTCACGACTTTGTTCTGGCAACTGTATCAAATCCAAAAGAATTGGCAGCCAGCGGTGAAGAGCAGCTGCTGCCATCCAGCTCTGAGTCCTCCCAGGCCTGTGCCATTAGCCCTCCTCCTTCCCTTTGCCTTTCCTCCCTCTCTCCAGTGTTCATTTCAAAGGTTATTAAATGAAATCAATTTCAGCCTTCCTTTAGCCTAATGCTTTCCAATTTTTCTCTTCCCTGGCTCATGTGTCTCATCCTACAGGGATATTCTTGTCTCCATTTTAACCAGCTCCTTGTTTGTAGTGCTTTCCTGAAGTCCAGACTGATGAGAAAAGTGATTCTTCTAAATACAGGTAATAAAATAAATCTAATCAAAGGCGCATGCCTGGTTAGCTGAGAATTGGCCTTTTACAAATTAGTGTTACATTGTATTGAATTGAGACTCAATATTCATTTGCCTGGGACACTTACCTACTTACCTACATTGTTGTTCTGTTTTTTTAGGGTGCAAGCTTGAGAGATTTAGGAATTTTTATTCAAGGAAATTCCAAGCTTTCTACTTCTGCCTGTAGTAATTCTTTATGTTATACTATAAATATTAGGTGCATTAATTTCCTTCTTAATTGTGGAACTCTACCTCATGTATCCTTAATTTATTCAGATTCCTTAATTTCACATAGGCCTAAATTACACCTGGATATTGGCAGCCAGACAGAAAATTACTGATACAGTTTTAACACCTCAGTGTTTGACAGAGGATATTGCTGGCCCAAAGGATGTAATTTTTAATTATATTAAAAGAAAATTGAAAACGCTTGTTTGTTTACTCAAAGCCATAAGGAGACCTGAGGGTAAGGTGTGAATCTGGGCTCTGCCATTTCCCTAATTGCAGCAGTTTTAATAAAACATTAAAGCATTGATTAAGAGGTACTGTTTCTATTGAAAGGGACTGCTCTTAATTCCTTTTCTTTTTCCCTGGGGCAATTAGTCACACTGTAGTTCTTTTCTGAAGTAGAAGGTAAAAACACTGATAAGATCAGTTTGAAATCGAGGCTAGGTCATTATTTATGTATATGATAGTGTGCCTATAAGGCTTATTTTTAATAAGAATGTAGCTTTTTCTGCCTTAACCACTTAGATTTTCAACTCCTGGGAACTATTTTTGCCCTGTAACTCTGAGCACAACCTCGGGCTCAGTGGCCATGAGGTGCTTCTGCCCTGTGCTGTGATTAATCCTGGTGATTTTATCATATGCAAACCTCTTCCATGCAGCAAGGAGAACTTGGATTAAGGTTCCAGAAACCTTTCATGTGGCATCTTTTCTGGACAGAAGTGAGCAGGAGCCTGTCCTGCTCAGGGTGCTGTCAGGAGCAGTCCCGTGGAAGTACAGGATCATTTAGGATCTCTTAATTAAGGAAGAAGAACTTGGTGCTTGGGTAATGATCCTGACAAAAGACGCTCCTTTACTGAGGTGCTCCACTCCTTGGGCTGCCTAAGGCTTTTCTAGGAAGTGCTGTAGAAATAATAAGATCACTTCTACCTCTCCACATACTGCAGCATTTTCAGCTCCAGATGATTTTCCTTGTGTACTAATCCTGGCCTTTCTGGTGTGACCATTACTGCTGACATTGGGCTGTTTTCATGTTTTTCATCCCTTGGAAGGGATGTGAAAAGAGTGCAGGTGTCTCACTCTGTATTCCCTGAAATGATGTTGAGCAGCCTTTGTATCAAATCTTGCATCTCTGTTTTTTCAGCTCCCCTGGCACCTTCTTTTTATCACTTCTGAGTGCAAAGGTGGGTCAGTAAAGTGAGGTGCATCAAAAATCAAACTATGGAGACCTTCCTATTTCAAGGCAGTGCTTGGCAAGCATAATGTTTTGGGGATTTTTTTTCTGTGTTCCTGGCAATGTTTTTATGGCAAATGGTGAAAACTCATGGGTTTGTGATGGACAGGTGGCTTTTCCAGGTGACTTCACCCAATTCCCAACTGAAACTTATTCATGAAAGAAGTCTTAGTGACTTTACCAATAGAAAATCACCTCTGTGGAGAGCATAAATTATGGTTCCATGAGACATATTGGATTTTGTTGTTATTGTTCTGATGAAAACCTGTATTGATCTTCTGCTATTTCTGTTTTAACTGAAGAAAAGCTGTGCACTTTATGCTCAGAAATATCCAAGAGGAAAAAAAGGGATTACTTGGAAATTCAAATGAAAGGTAATAAAGCCAAAGCTTTTGCCATTACATTAATTGTAATTGAATTGTGGTTGGAAAATCTGCCTTTAGTTTTCCTAGAAACAGCAAGCAGGGGCACGTGCTGACATGCAGCTTGTGCTGCATCTGAAGAGTGAAATTCTGTTCATTTCAAACTGCTGTTCCTAACTTTAAATGGTGCAAAATGGGATTGAAAACAGCTCTGTAACACCAAAGTAAACTTGAGGCTGTTTGTTACTCGTGAGGAACAAGACTACATTAAAAATTCACCTTCATTCTTCTGATGCTTATTTTGATTTTGTTTTGCTTCTGGGGCCCATGTTCATCTGTTACAAAAATCCTAATGTTTCCTTCATCTTCTCCTCAAAAATTAAGAGTTATATTTCCTTTTCAGCTTTCATACCTGCTATCTGTTGATGTATAAAACAAAAAATCATTGTTTCTTCTGTTACTCTGTGAATGCTTCTCAGAGAAACAGGTTTACTGCATAAGTGAAGAGCTGGAAAATTGTGTGTTTAGAAGTTTAACTTTTGATAGTATTAGAGAGAGTAAGCTGGAAAAAAAATCCAAATTAGTTACCCACATCAAAAATCCCACTTTTTAATTATTTTTGAGATGAGGTGAAGGATTAAGAGAATATAGTATTGATAGTATGAATTATATCTGCTAGGTATCTTTTATTTTTTAATACTCTTAGAATTAAACATGGCAGCTTGCCAACATTTTCACTTCTTGATGGCATCAGTGGTAAAAAAAGGCTCATAGTTCATTATTTATTTGACCTGCTGAGAAAACTGATTACTTGGAATAATACCACTGAGTTTGTCTCGTGCTGTGAATCCCATCTTAATGAAATATCTGTTCAAGGAATAGGTGAAGTGAAATTTAGGTGTTCCTTCTTGGAATATTTGTGAGCTTTTACATCCTCAAGAAAATATTTTCTCCATCACACCAAGTCTTTCTGCACAGTTGGTGCCACCTTTGGACTTCTCAAAAAAGGGAATAACAAGTAAACAGCATAAAGCTGAAGCATTTTGATGCCCACTGTGTGTTCCTCTTCAGCACAGTGCTGTGCCTTTCCCTGCACCTCCTTCAGTGTGGCAGCCAGGAGAGGGGAGCTCAGTGCCACAGGCTCAGGTCTGCCCACCTTTCATGGGATTTACTTTGGAACAGCCCTTTAGTCCTTGGCACCAGCTTCCCCCTAGTGGTTGGGATGCACCTCTTGGTGGGCTTGATCCCAAAGAAATCCAGTTTGTGTTTTGCCATGGTACTCTGCATGTGCAAGGCCTGTGTGCCCAGCAGCCTCGGTGAGTATTGGCAATGTGGATGGATATTTTTGCTTGAGGATCTGTCCTGTCCTGCTGCCCCACAGAGGGTCAGAAAGGGAAGCCTGAATCCTGTTTTCCTGTTTAATGGATTCTGAGTAGTCACTGCATCCACCACCTTAAACTTTGTATACCAGCCCCCTGCTCATTATAGAGGAAAATCCTAACTCTTTTCCATGTCTCCTCTTTCCCCCATAGCTGTCAGAACCATTCTTGAGAAGGAATCAGCAGAAGAAAGGAACATTTAAAGTCCTAAAACACTCTAGATGCCTGGCAGTGAGACAATATCAATTATACATGTAGCTGTGTGTTTAGAAACTCAATAAAACTCTGCCATTTCTCAGTGATCCAGAAGAACAGCTTGTTCTGTAAAAGGCATTTTCTAACTATAGACAGGTATCAATTCCTTTATTGACTGGATTGATTCCTTCCTCTGCTAATGCATCTGCTGTCCTGATAAGGTGACTCTGACCTGGAACTTCCCTTCTTTGGTGGAAGGGGTGAAGAAAGGAGGTGTTTGTTCCCAGTGCTGTCAGTGTGCAGCCCCTGCTCATCAGTGCTTTGCAACATCAGTGTGAGAACAGCTGGCCATCCCCAGAGTGCCCTCTCTTCTCGTCACTTCAGCAGCACACCACTCTGTTCTGATTTCTTCCATCACCCAGATACATTAAGAGAAGGAAAGCAGTCACTCTTGGGTACTCCCTGGTGTTATTTTTGTCTCTGAGCACAAATGCCATTTGTTCAAAAGCTGATGAGATTTATGTCTTGATGGGGATCCCCGTGCTGAAATGAACTCCAGGCTCCCCTGCCTGGGAAGCATTTGCCAGAGCTGCTGATGTGATTGAGCAGCTGGGAGGAACTCCAGTGCAGGTGAATTCCAACCTCTGGAATTCCTTAAGGGAGTGGTTGGAGTGAGTGTGAAGTCAGTCTTGGGTTTAGTAAACTTAGTTTTAAGGTTTCTTTAATTTTAAAGGATTCCAGAGGTTTGAAGACGCTAGTAAATCATCCCAGCAGGAAGACCAAGCATCACAGTCTTCAGAGCATTCCCTTGGCCAGAATATTCCCCTACAGCTCTGGGGAAGAGGGAAGTTGGGAAGGAATCCTAAAGCAGAGACCAGAAGTGAAGAGCTACAGTCTCCAGCAGCCTCAGCTGAGAGGTACAGAGAGCCCTGAGCATGAAACTTTGCTGCAGAGCTGGAGAAAGATGGATCTGTTCTTTCTCCCACACAGCTGGGGAAGGCTGAGTGCTGTGGCTGCCAGCAGCCTGCTGCCTCAGAATGGAATCAGCACTTGGGCAGGGGAAACACAGAGGGGATTTCATTAACATTCATGGACTGGCTGAGCAAGAGCTCTGCATGCTGACAAGATAATGTACAGCTTTAATATAGCAAATTTCTACTGCTGGTGGGGACTGCCCAGCTGTAACATTTATTTTCACTGTTTGAGTCCTGAGGAAGATGTGGGTGAGATGCTGTTCCCTGTTTCCATCAAAGCACCCACTTCTCTGACAAGGACCACACTTCCCACCTCACTTTTTCAAATGGTTGCTCAGACTCCTGATGCTGAGCAGAAAACAACATTTAAGCTGTTTTTCAAAATGAACATTTATCAGGGGGTGTCCTTCCCCCTTCCCAGGGTAGAGTATTAATTAAATTGGAGGACTCAAGAGCCTGTCTGGAAGGGATTCTGGATGCAGAGGAGGTGCAAACCCAGAGGACCAACATGAAATGCAGGCAGCTGTTCTTCTAAAATGGAAGAGTTAAAAATCCAAACTCAAAAGGACAAAGAAAAGGAAAAAAGGAGAAATCTTGATTCTGGAAAATGAGAAGCTGCTTATCAGGAAATGTGGATGTGTGATGCCATGGTGGGGCAGTTTTCTCTCCAGTTCCTGTGCTTCCTCTGAGCTGGTTTGACTTTAGAAATATATAAAAGAAAGGTGACTTGTTGTTTGTGTCATGTACTGGAAAAGATGGAGTTGGAAGAGATGGCAGATTTTGCACCACTAATGTTGCAGGGGTAGAGGCATTCCCTTACTGTCTGTTGATATTGAAAACAGCCTGGAATGGCTTTTTAGCTTTTGTCTGGGAAAAATAACAGGAATATCAAAGTATAATATTAGTTAGGAAAGAAGCAAGCAGCCTCAACATGAATTTTGTGTTTGCTGTGGTGTGAAGAGAAGCACTGTATTGGTGGTGGCAGTGAAGATGCATTCTGGGGATGCAGGTAAGCTATCCATGTTCTCCAGGGATGGTAGTTTAGGGCTAAGGGGAATGGATAGATTAAAAAAAACCCCAATCTCTTAGAGATCAGATCCTGAGAACTGAGTCGTGATTCCTGCAAAGCCAATGGTGGGGATCTCCCTGGGAATAAAGGCTTGGAAATGTGCTGTTCAGTGCTTTCCTGGCACACATCCCTCCTTTATGAAGCTGGGATCCAGGCCTGGCCAGCAGCTGGTCACTGGGCCAAGTTTATCCAGAGAGCTGAGAAACTGCAACAAGCCACCCTCACTATCCTGACTGCAGAGTTTCCAGTGCTCTGGAGCACTGGGATGTGGTTGGAATTGTGCTCCAGGAAAAATTTACCCCTGGATCAGCTCTGTTAACCTCCAACAAATCACTCGAAACCTGCAGTGCTGGCCCAGGCATTCAGTGCAAACAAAGCACGAGCTGCTGTAGCACATTTGTGCCAGGGTTTCCTGATTCCAAGTGCAGTCAGATATGGCCTAAAATGAACCATTGTTGTAACAATGACAAGAGAGGCTGGGGTGAAAATCATGTTATTTCCTTTGGAAAGAAAGAGTTCTATTTTTAACTATTTCCCCCTTAATCTTACTATTTTGTTCTACCAGTGTTTATAGCAGAGAGTACAATACTTCTTGCTGTGATTGTTCTTTGTGTGGCTGGGATATAAGTAGATGTTCTGCAGCAAATTCTCTGTCTGGGATACAGAGTCCAAAGAGATTGTGCTGCAGGAAGTTCTAAAAAAAACCCCAAACCCTTACACAATCCCCCACTCACTCCCTCCAAAAAGCCATAACCCAAACAAATAAAAACCCTGAAAGACTGTCATAGTTCCAAAATAACCACAAAAAATGTGTGCTGGGCTTAAAACAGAAGTCTGGGGGAAATGATTGTCAGATCCCTGGGTGCATTTGAGAACTGATTTATGTACATGAAACAGAAAATAAGAAACACACACTTGGGCTGTGCTTGTGTGTTCTCACTGAGGCAAATGAGCAGCTCCTCTCATTCTTTGCTTCTTTATTAGCAGTCATCTGATCTTCCCTCCCCTTCTGCATCCACTAATCCTCACCAAAATGGCTGGAAAGAACTCCTCTTGTGCTTTGGGGTGTTTTCCTGAGATTATTTCTACTACTCAGGGGAGTTACTGGATGCTCAGAAGGAGTTTTTGGTTTGGACCTTACAAACCTTGGACCCTGTTCAACAGTAAGTAGCCAGGAGAGAGGAGAGGGACTGCTCCCTGTCACCTGAAACAAACTTTTAATTCATTTCAAACAGTTCTTTGAGAGCAGACATTGGTACAGGATAAAAAAAATCACAGGTACTTTATCAAGATGCCCTTCTGCCTCAGCCCTTTGCTGTCATTTATGTATCCACAGCCATCTATGCACAAATTACAGATAATTTATCAGGCTGTGATCTTTTCCATCATTTTGCAGGATGCTGCCTGAAGGAAAGAGCAGAGCTGGAGGCTTGTGTTGAGTGGGTGATGTATGAAAGGGGCTTGTGGCAGTGAGTTAGATGGAGCACAGCCCACAAAGGAAAGGGAAGCAGATTTTCAGCATCTCTGTGCCATTGTTTGGACAATGTGTTTTACTGAGGTTTTGATAAAACTGGTATTTAAAGGAAAATCCCCAATCTAACCCCATCATGGAAACTACCTGATGATTTGTGTAAGTGGACAAATTGGGAAGTGCAGCTTCTTTGGATAATTTTGTACTTTGATCTGAGAATCCTTCAGGCATCTCATCTAGACTAGGCTCTTTTATCCTAATATTTAGCCCTTCCAGAATTTCTTTTGCCTGAGGAGTTCAAAGCTTTTTACAAACTTTGTGTAGAGTTTTCTTTGTCAAGACACAGGACTGGAAAGCAGGCAGAGTGCTGGAAGGCCCTGCATGTTCCCCTCTTGGTTTCCCTGCCCCCTCAGCTCCCAGCAGCAGCAGGGAATGGGAATTCTTTTGGGATGTGGCAACTCTGACTCAAAAAGAGGAGTTCTATTCCACAGAACCATCTTCCAGGGTGAATTTTCTTTTCATTTGGTGTTAAATCAAGTGCAGTCACAGGTAAGCAGTGCAGAGTTCAGCTGGGTGTCCTCAGATGGGATTTTGGGATTTTCCACAATTTGGAATTGCTGGCTCTGGGTGAGGGTGGGAGGGCAGAGAGCTGAGCTGGGTGTGGTGCTGCCTGTGAGGTGTCTGACAGAGAATTGACTGTTGTATAAACCTGAACAGCTTTTTCCCAGTCACCCTTCACACAAAGTTGAATATTACCCAGGAGTTGTGTGGCTGGCTGGAAACTGAGGGCTTTTCTGGGCACCACTGAGCTGCCTTTCAGTGGGAAAGGGAGGAGAGGGAGCTGTGGGAACAGGAGGGGCTCCGTGCCAGTTCTCAGGGTCAGGAACAAGCTGGAGCAGGCAAACAGGTGCCCAGGCAGCTCCACCAGCAGAGCTCAACTCAGCCTTGCCAGGCCTGAATTAAATCAGCATTCACAGAGCACAGGAGAAGGGAGGTTTTCTCAGGGATAAACTGTGAGTCTGCTCAACAAGCAAGGGATGCAGGAGCTCTCAGTGCCCTGGGAAGTCTCACAGCTCTGCAGTATCACAGATTTTAGGAACCCATTGGTAGGTGTGTGTGAGGAGTGGATCTTTTGCATGGCACCATGAGCAGCCCCTGTGTGTCAGTCAGATGAACTGCAGCACTTTGGGCTGGAATTCTGCTGTGAAATGTCTGCAGTCCCATTTTTGGTTAGAAAACTCAGAGTTCAAAGATATCCTAATGCTTCCATGTTCTCTAGGGATGGCAGTTTGCAGGCCACAATTCTGGTCTGGGGCTAAGGGGAATTGATAGATTTAAAAAACCCAATCTCCAACAGGTCAGATCCTGAGCACTGTGAAGAGGACCCAAGATCCTGAGAACTGTGAAAAGAACCTCAAAGTGGTCCTCTCCAAGTGCTGCTGGCTCCCACTCAGCTGTTTGTGTGGCTGATCTGAGAGCTCATTGCTGGAGGAGCTGGGATGGTGCCCTTGGCAATTCCAGCACCTTGGGGCTAAAGGTGTTACAGGATGGAGCTCCCCAGGGCTTAATCACAATGACACACACCAAAAGCTGATTTTTGATTTTTTTAACTTTTATACTTACTGCAAGACATATACTTTGTGTGTCTTTCATACTTTGTGTGTCTTTCACCCATCTAGAAAAGTGTGGGATGGCATGGAAGGCACATTACAAAGTGCAGCAAGCTCACCTGAGAAGCAGGTACAGCTACAAGTGTGGAAAGCTGTCTGAAATAATCTGAATAACGTGGTTTGTGCTCATTATCCTGGCAAGCAGAATTTCCTGCCTGTGTTGGTAGCCTGCTTGCTACAGTTAATCAGCAACCTGCCTAATCTCACTAACCTTCTTTTTGTAACCTGCCTAACTATGGTGTAATCTGCTTATGGCACTGAGCCCTGACTATTAGTAGCAAGTTTGGAGCTGTGCAGGTGCAAATATTTTTATTTTCAGTCCTGTTGACAGCTGGCTTCCATGGTGTTTGTGCTCATGAAATTCAGCCTGGGGGTAATGATGAGAAAATAAAGGTATTTCTGACCTGCTAACTTCTGCCTCCTCTGTGCCACAGCCCCTGAGCTGTGGGGGATTGTCCCAGGGCTAATCCTGGGATGCAGCTCCTGGGACACGGATCATGGCTGGCCACAGCTGCTGGGGGACATCTGCTGGCCCTGTCACCTGCTGCCCTTCAGCCTGGGACACTCTTCATCCATCACACCCTGGCCTGGGACCCCTGGTTTCTGTCTCAGCTGACTGCTCTTGTTTTAGCAGACAGGAGAAACGGGAATTTGTCTGATACTGTTTGTAAGTCTTAGTTCATTCCTCAAATTCCTGCAATTCCTATTGAAGAAAGAAGCAATTTTGAGTTTTGCTGGAGTATGCAAGGGTTTTTGTTTGTTTGTTTTCCTAAAGCCAAGTAATTACCAAAAGAGATGTAAAACTGTAATTCCACTGAAGGCTGAGGAGGACAGACACCAAACTATTTTAAATTTTATCTCATTTTATCTAATTTCTCTGATTTCATTAGTTTAATGTTTGTAAGCCAGCAGCTGCAGTATCTTTAACAATATTCCTGGACAAATATATTCTGTTATAAACTCATGTTTGACTTCAGCTTGGGGCCAATGGGGCAGACACACTGTTAGAAATAATTTTTAATAATATATTTTGATCTTTGGAGTGCCTATTATCTGCCAAGCTCAGGCAAATGTTTTGCTTGCTGCCATTAGAAGCCTTGAGGATTCCACATGAGACCAGAATGAATTCCAAACCAGGGATGGCTTGAAACATTTCCTTCAAGAATTTGAATTCTTTTGTTATTCTCTTCATCTGGAGCTGCTGTAAAAGGTAATGATGTAATAATTTTTTTCTCAGAGGAAAAGGGAACATAACCTGCTTGGTGTTGTGATAACTCTGGATAGGAGAGGATGGTTTCTGGAGGAAGCAATATTATAAATACAAAAAGTGCTTCAAAAAGCACAATATCCCAAACTTCTGGCTTCTTATGTCAGAATATAAATATAATTATTATACAGAAACACTATTCTTGCACTTCAAAATGATTTCATACTACAGTTCACATGCAAAGTTACCCCCTTCTTCCCATGTGGTGTTTTAAATCCTTTTTTTCAGATACACCTTCCTCATTTTCTTTGCAAATTTTTGAACATGTTCCTACTTCTGTGCTGTGGCCATTAATTAAAATATTAAAGACAGAATATTCAATAATCTGTGAGAAACTTTCCTATTCCTCTCCCTCCTGCTAGGTGGCTTCCCTGAAAGCATAACTCATCAGCATTTCTCCTCTAATGAGCTTTGTGCCTTAAAATGCTTCTATTCCATCACCTTCAGATTTTGATTTTCATCATGTTGAAGTTGTTGGGGTTTTTTCTTTGAATAGTTTTGGGGTTTTTTTCCAGTGCTCTCATCTTATTAGTTATTTTGGATTCTCTACATTCAAATCATCCTCTTTGGGGGAAATAAAAAAGAAAAAAAGAGGTGAAATCATGACTTGGTTTTTAGGCCAGACTATTTTTCATCTCCTGACAGGTGTACAAGGCTCTTCTTTGTTTAAACTATTTTTTACGGCTGTACTTTGCTTCATGAGGTTTAATTCACCCTGACCTGTGTGTCTCCATTTCTCTTCTGTCATCTCTGGTTTTTCTTTGCTTTTTAATTCCTTATTGGAATGTTTATCCCTTTATGTTTCTAATGCAATTTCTGAACAGCTTTTGTGACTTAAATCTCATTATCCTCCCTGACAGAGTCTGAAAACTCTGCTGCTCCAAGTGATTTCCATAAGTGGCTCCTTTAATACCTCAAGGTTTGCTCACCCATTCATGAGGATCTTTCTTTGCCTGCAAAAAGGTTGGTTTCTTTCAGATGTTTTGCTGGCACTTTATATCCTAGAAATGCTTCCTGGAAATCTTGGGAAACCATAATCAGTTGGATCTCCTTAGTCCACACTATTCTGTTTTTCCTTTCCAGAAATGCTAACAAAAGCTGAGGCACAACCTCCAAAAGCTGTCCTAACTCTTCCTGGTGATATCTTATTTATCACACTTATTAATTCTGTTATTATTAAGGTTTATATTTAAAATATTTAAAAGCTCAGTGACAAACTCAATCTAAATTTTACACAGGTTCCCAACTCCTTCTAAAACCTTAAAAAAGCATTGGCTTTGCTACTTTCTCTACATTCAGAATTTTAGAGTATTTTTAATCCCTATCTTATTACAATAATTATATATTTGTTCCTTTAGAACACTTAGGTGAGTGCTGTCAAATCTTAGAAACAGATTTGACTTTTTTTCCTTTTGAAATCACTTCAAATAATCTGAAAAAAAAACCTCATAATTTAGAGCTGCTCTGCCTTCTTTCAGAAAAGGATTTGATTTCCATCATTTGTGATTGGTAATTGTAGAACTCCTCAGAGTTACAGAATTCTGAAAACCACAAGCAAACTTCCTTGTGAAGCAAGGATTAATAATTTCACAGATACTTTATTCAAGTTTTAAAAAAGCTTCAAATTCACATTAGTTATGTTCACACTTGGAAAATAAATAAAAGTAAGAATGCTTAAAAAACTTCCAAACACACAGAAACAGTGTAACAAAATAAGGAGGAGAAAATAATGACAGATTTTTTAGCAAGAAAGTCAGCAATAGTAGGGGAAGGTAGTACTGAGGTAAGAAAAAATCCAAATCCCAAATATTTTTTTGGAGAGTTTTTTGTGGAGTAGCTGAAGTCCTGAGCAGCCAGTGTGTAAGAAGAGGTATTAAAGCACTCCCTTGCATGGTTTCATACAGCTGGAGTTACCTGAGGTAAAAAGATGCCCTTTTCCAGGGACAAAATGGCAATTGCTGCTCCACAATCTGCCCTGGCTTTGCCAGCCCACGGGAAGAGCTGGACTGGAGCCTCAGCAGCTGCACAGCACCCTGTAATTCATTATTTATTATTAATGAACAGTGAGGCTGCAGCTCACTTTAGGAACAGAGGTGCACCAACGTCACAAGAGAGTGCAACAAAGAACAGTAATACAAAAGTAAATTGTTTTCTTGGGGAGAAATAGCAGCTTGAGCTTTCTTACTGGAAAACAAACAGAATTCCTGCACTGGCAGGTCTCCTAAACTGAGAGGTACAAATTCACAGAATTTTGCATGTGTAGCAAAGCACCAAGTTCTTCTCTGGTGTCTGATATAATTTTTAACAATATATCTTGATCTTTGGAGTGCCTATTATCTGCCAAGCTCAGGCAAATGTTTTACTTGCTGCCATTAGAGAAGCCTTGAGGATTCTACATGAGACCAGATGAATTCCAAACCAGGGATGCCTTTAAACATTTCCTTCAAGAATTTGAACATTTTCTTCAAGAGTTTTGTTATTCTCTTCATCTGGAGCTGCTGTAAAAGGTAATGATGTAATAATTTCTTCCTGAAAGGAAAAGAGAACATAATCTGCTTGGTGTTGTGATATCTCTGGACAGGAGGGGATGGTTTCTGGAGGAAGCAATATTGTAAAAACAAAAAATGCTTCAAAAAGCACAGCCAGCAGTGGAAGAGGTTCCTGAGCCCCAGCCCTTCCTCAGTGCCCTTCCTCTTCACTGGCCTTCTCCTCAGAATCATCACTCTCATACTCCTCATCCTCATACTGGAAAGCACCCTCAGCTTCAGGGTCAGACTGGGCTTCCTCTTCACGGGACCCATCTGACCTGGCTCTGCACTCATCCTCCTCTTCCTCCTCCTGGGAATGGCCACGGGATGGGCCTGCCTTGGCTTCCTCCTCCTCTTCCTCCTCCTGGGAATGGTCCAGAGCTGGGCCTGCCTTGGCTTCCTCCTCCTCTTCCTCCTCCTGGGAATGGCCATGGGATGGGCCTGCCTTGGCTTCCTCCTCCTCTTCCTCCTCCTGGGAATGGTCCAGAGATGAGCCTGCTTTTGCTTCCTCTCCCTCCTCCTCCTGGTCACTGTGCCAGCTGGATTGAGGCTCAAGGGCACCAGGGCTGGCTCTGGCCTCACCCCCACCCTCCAGGTCACTGCACTGCTCATCTGGGGTGGAGGTTTTGGCACCTTTTCCCTCCTCTTCCTCCTCCTCCTCCCAGGACTGCTCAGACTGGGGACTGCCACCAGCTGCTTCCTCAAACAAATCCATCTTTTTCATTTTAACCTTGGTGATTCTGAAAAGACAAATTGCATGTGGGGTTTTATTCTCTGGGAAGATGCTTTCCACTTTGTGACCCAGGACAAAGCCTGGTAGCCTTGGCTGGGTGGAACTGGGGAAGGAGAAGGGAAGGGGGGACACAAGAGTCTCTTTTTATGCTAGAAAGTAACTCAGCTGTACTACTTGTATATATTTTTTTAATTTCTGTTTCCAATTAAATCATAACACCCAACAGATACTAAAAACTATTTTTAATAAGGTTCACTTTAAAAATCTAAAATTTAAAGGTAGTGACTTACAGCAACCTGCCAGAATTTTGGATGAAAGGAACAAACAAGGAATGTTTTTATTTTTTCCTTTGAAGTGAATTACATAACATAACCAGTTTGGTTAAGAAGCTCTCCTCTGTTTTACAAAATAATATTTAATTCAGGAAAACCAATCAAAAATACATACTAATGCTAACATACCACATAGTCAAATAGTTCCCTGGAAAATACTGCAAATCATTAAAAAACCCCTTAAATCTACACAAGGAAAGATTTCTAATTATTAGATACATAGTGAGTAAAAAGAAAAAGCCTTCAGTCATCTGTACCTTGCTCTGCCAGCATTGGGGGTGACACCTCCAGCAGTGGGGAACTGCAGTGATTTGGCTGCTCCTCCTTTCTGTGAAACAAACTCTGGGCAGATCCCCAGTGCTCTCAGTCTGTTTGAATAATACTTTTCTGCAGCTATTCTGGCATTTTTCTGTAGAAAAATCACAATGGTTAAATGTTATCTAATGCATTAAATGCCTGGCTTTTGATACTTTTATTTATATCAATCCTCTGATTCATTAATTGCTGCTGACAACTGGACATGATTATTCACTGCAGGTAAGAATAGCAAACACTTGAAAATTTTATCCCAGATTTTACTCTTCTGTACCAGCAATGCTTGGTTGTGGTCAGAGTTATTAATGTTGGAACTGAACCAGACACATTTACAACAATTCTCTGCTCTCTGTGCAAGCACACCTCAAAAATCACTGATATTTACATGGAGATGGGGCAGCAGAGATTGAATGGAGAAACACTGCCCTGAAAAGTGCTTTTGAAGTATCTTCTAAAAATGTCAGACCACAAATTTCTTATTCAGTATCAGTCAAGATTAATTAGTAGTTCAGAAACAAGGCAACCTGAGTGACTCTTTCAAAAAGAAGTGGCATTTGTTTTACTCTTTCTTCCATTTCTTGCAATTCTTGCAAATATTCCTGCCTTCTCTGCTTCTCGTTGTTCCTAAGGGGAGCAGAGTACAAGAGACATCATTATTAATTTATAGTACAAGGGGTCATTTTCTACAGCAGTTAAATTGCTCATAACAAATTAAATGTTGTCATACTTCAGGATACATTAGAGGTACTGAACAATTCATCTCTGAAGGAGCCACCCTGGCTAAGCAGAGGCAGGTCCTGGCTACTGGACTGAAACAGAGGCTGAGTTTGGATTCTTGGGTTCTTTTGGTAAAAAAAAAAATTGGATATTTAGGTTTTTTACATGCTGATTTCATACACATCTTCCAGTTGTTCTAAGCAAAACTAAACAGAACACACCCCAGGAAATTAAGAGCATTAAATAAAAATCAGTACTTTTCAGGTCTGAAGGAGAGAATCTTGCTGCTTTAGCAGCTGATCACCCGAGAGAGGTGGCTAGTCTGGATCATGGAACACTTGTTGCCTGAGCTGGTTTGTCAAGGGCCCAGTCAATAGAGCAGGACAATGAAACTGTGAATTCATGACTGAAATGATCCCTGGGATCACAGGGAGCCCTGGATAATCCAGGTGCAATGGGCTGTGACCCTTGCTCAGAGGGGGACAGTGCCTCTGACCTGGCCACATCTGCCACTGCAGGTCAGGCACTTGAGGGCAAGGATGAGATCAAGGGGGGCCTTTTACACCTCTGCTTCCTCCAGCCCCTCTCCCTGACCACCTCTGAACTCCTCACCATGCTGGGAAGTGCACTTCCATTCCCTGCTCTGGATGTCTGTCTGTCTGCCCCTGACAGACAGAGTGACACATTCCAGCCGGGCTGAAATGAGCAATATCGGGTTCAACACCTGCACCAGAAAGTTGCAACAGCAGCATTTTACACCCAGCATTTTACTCTCCTGACATCTGATTGAGCTGAACCCTGTAGTGTGAGATTTGCTGTTGAACAAACCCAAATCACATCCACAATCACCTACCGTGCCTCTTAATTCTCTGTCCCAGAGTCAGCAGCTCCTGTGCTTGAGGACACATGGATTATCAAGCTCCTGTTATTAGCAGTATGCCAGGTTACTGGAAATTAGGATTTGTGCTTGCTGCCCCAGAATCCTGCCCAGGCATGAAGCAACAGGGGCAGAGCAATCAGTGCCTCTCACCATCCCCACATCATTGACACCTTAAATTGCCAATAGTGCAGCAGTACCCCGTGCCAGGCCAGACCACAAACCTCACTAAAGACTTGTTCACACAGGATTTATTTTTCTCAGGATTAGAAAAGCAGAAAGGGTTAAATTAGCCCCAGACACGAGGCCAAGCAGCAGCCATGGGGTTAGAGCTGTGTCAGAGCTGGAGCCATCTGGAGTGGCAGCTTACAGCACTCCAAGAAGGCTCTCGTGTTCTTCTCTGTGCATACACAAAGAGTCTTTGCACTGCATCTCTACTCCAGGGAACCTGGGATCCCATCCTCCTGAGCTCCAGCAGCTTCCTCACTCACTGCTGTTACACTGGGAAGTTAAAATAGTCCTGCTTTTATTTCCCTCTTCAGTGGGCACCTGCTGGGACAAAAGTGAATTGTGAAATGTTTGCTGCTGCACCAAAGTTGTACCAACACCAGTGCACATCCAGGTCTGCAATGATATTCTGTATCCACACTGTCCCCTCTCCTGACTTTTACAACCTTTTCCTCTTTAGTTGATACATCAATGGGGAAAACACAGGACTCTCCTGTTACTGAATCTATAATAATCTAATGTGGAATATATATTTCTATATGCTATATATTTCTATACTCTGAGTTCAATACAGGTTGGCAACAATTTCCCAGCTGAAATGCTAAATTTGGCCATTTTTCACCAGCTGCTTGCACCATGTTTAATTTACCACTGTAAGTATCTAAACTCAGACTATGCTATTTTTTACACACTGTATGTTTAACATACAGGGCAATCCCAAACCTCTCCTTGTCATTGCTGAAAGAGGTGTTTGGGATTCAGGGGAATGCTACAAAATACCTGAATGTTTTTAATCTGGGTTTAGACATCTGAGCTAGGCTCTGATGTGGGTCATTGGCCTCAGCCCGAGCCATCACCATTTTCTGGAATTTTTTTGTCCTTTGTTTCTGCTTGTTTCTGTTCCTTTTTTGTTGTTCTTCCAGCTTTCTTTTTTCCTCAAGGGAATTCCTGGTGGGGAAAATAAACTAAGGCTAATTAATTTTAAACCTAGAGCAAGACTTCAAAGGAATCTTTGGCAAAGATGATTCCAAAGAGAACAACAGGGTGAAAACAGGGTTGCTATGAGAGGACACAATGTGTGTGCCATTTCAAGGGATTCAGGATATCCTGGGAAACCAGAGTCATTTGTCTTCTTCTGACACAAATGCAATAGTGTTCCTTTAACAATAATAAATACTAATTAAATCCTATATTTAAATATTTTGAGATTTATATTATAAACCCTTATATTAACAAATTAAATCCTATATTCACTGCATGGAAGAATTAACTACAGATGTAGAAACACCAAAAATAACACCAAATAAAATACCAAATATATACTACTACTAATAAAAAAAATCTACTTTTCAAGCATACATAAAGTAGAGCATCACCAAGCAGTCACCTTAGGGCTTGCAGCCGTCGTCTGGTGGATTCTGTGGTTTTGGGAGCTTTGGGTTTTCCTTCTCCCAGGAGAGGTGGCTTTACCCCTGACTGCCCCATCTGAGGCTTCCTTCTCGGAGAGGCAAACGGCCACCGTGTTTCCTTCAATTTCTCCTCATCCTCTTGCATGTCCTTCAAGATCTTGTCCTTGTTTGAGGGAATGTATGAAGTACAAAGGTCAAAAGGCTCACACACTGTGAGGGGTCTCACTTTTTTTTGTTGCAGGAGGCGTTTCTGGAATTTCTCATGAAGGAGTTCAAAATCGGGAACGCTCGATTTGATCTTGAGTTTGTGCTCCATTTGCTTTGGTTCAGTGCTCTTGTGTTTCTTCTTTTTGTTGGTCCCTTTTGAGGCCAGTCTGCTGTTGGGTACAGATGAATTCTGTAGCAGCTCCTCAGCTCTCATCCTGATCCTGATTTCCCTGCAGAGCTCCTCCTCCTTTACCTTGTCATGGAAATCTGGACTATAAACACATCTGGGGACTGGTTTCGCCCTGAACACTTTGGTTTTATTTTCAGGTGGGGAAAGGTCTTTCAACTGCATTTTCCTGGCTTCATGCCTTTGCCTCTCCCGCTCAATGAATTTAAAGGGCTTTTGGGTGGCCAGGAGCTTGAGCTTGCTCCTGTCCCTCACAGACCTCCTGCGCTCCTCGTTCCGCTGCACGATGTCCTGGTAGAGCGGCAGGAACACGGTGGCGGGCACGGGGTTGGCTCGGAACTTTTTCTGACACTCTGCTTCCTCCTCCAGCTGCTTCTTCAGCAAGTGGTTTTCCAGCTCAATCTGTGACTTGGATTTGACGTTCTGCTCTTTCTTCTGAGCTTCTCTGATGGTCATCTGGAAGGGCTTGGGCACGGTGACTCTGGGGGACCACGCTTTCACTTTGGCTTTCCTGCAGGCTGGCGAGCTGGGCAGGCTGTGCTTGGCACGGGACATGTAGTCTTCCAGGCAGAAGCCATCCCACATTTTTTCAATCTGCTGTTTAGCAAACGAGGATGATCCAGCTTCGCTGCCATTCTCCTCAAACACTAATTCTTCATCAGACACGTCCGATACGCTGGAGCCCAAGGGATTGCTTAAGTCTGAGTCTGAAAAGGATTTGTGCAGGTTAAGAGGCTGATGGGAACTCTTGTCCCAAGTTGGCCTTGAAAATAAAGGAGGGGGAAAAAGAAACACTTGGTTTGAGCCAGTCCAACGTTGATGCAAAACTGGTGACTTCCACTCTAAGGAATTATCACTAGAAACAAAAATGAGTGGCTGAGGGGGGAGAGAAGGGAAAAGAGCAGCACACTCAAAGCAGACCTGGTTTTAGTGCTGATCACCAAGTCTGCACGCCCTGACTTGGGAAAGGCCCTGTGCTTTCCTGAATGTGCTGCCCAAGCCCTGCTGCACACCCACCTCTAAACCTCACAGACCCTCAGCAAGGGAAGGAGCGTTTCTATCACCAAAGCTGACTTTTCTCTGATTATCTGGTTAGGAGAGGTGGGGAGTGGAACACTTTCCAGCCCAGAAACACACCCTGCTGTTTTACAGCTGCCTGCAAAGCATCTGGGAATCTTCAGCTAAAAAATGTCCCCAGACTTACCTGGAGCACTTTGGAGAGGTGTCACTTCTCTTATCCAAGGCTTGTACTCCTTTTAAACACAGTTTGTTCTGATACATACTTTCCAGTTTTGCCATGGTCTCCATGTGGGCATTCTTCAGCTCTTCCAGCTTCAAGTAATACTCCTGATTTGAATTGTACATTTTGGAAAAGTCTATCCACCTGTCACAGTCTCTCTTCGGAGGGGAGGCCTGCTCTCTCTTGGTACTGGAATCCAAGTCGAAGCCATCCTAGAAAAGATGTTCATAATTTTTTTTCTGCTAGAAGGAAGGGGAACAAGGTTCTTAATATTGCTTTATCCTGATCAAGTCTAAGGAATGGTAAAGTAACACAAATAGAGATACCTGTATATAAATGTTAATGTAGAAGTACATAGAATAATCTTATTGCGTATTAATTTTTATCCTAAGGGTCCTATTTAAAGCCTGTAAAAATTCCTAAGTCTGCCTTGTAATCAATATGTTTATAACAGGAAATATGATCAAAAGGATTTACCAAAAGAAAAAAACCAACTATTTTGTAAAGTGTAATTTTTCCTTGATTACTACGCAGCTCTAAAATGCCTTTATTTACAAGCAAACAGAACCTTCTCTGTGTCCTCATTCCATAACCACTCTAAAAATAAGTCATTAGAGATGTGGTGCATAAATATTTATGCCATTTCCATAACTTACTGTGAAATGACAGGGATTCTGCACAGCTTATATTTCCAATACTTGCATTTCCAATACTGTTTATCAGTTTGCAGCTGTGTGCAGTTGATACTCTTTAAGCATTTTTAAAGTTTACACTAGTCAGAGACGTTATTAAAACAACACAAAAGCTTCATTTTGTTATAGGCAGTGTGCTTTAAAAAGTTATGGGCTAATTTCTTCATTAAAAAAAAAATTAGAGTACTAATTTTACACACAGGGCTATTTTAATAAGCTTTGACACTCCAACAAGAACAAGAACAACAAAATCCTGTCTACGGGTTGTCAGGTTTTCACTGCAAAAATCACTAAGCGTTGGAGAATTCCCTACTGCAGTGGGAATTTCGGGATCGAAGCAGCGAGTTGACAGCGCCCACAGCGAGCCTCCCGGAGCGCTGGGTACGGCCCCGGCCGGGCCGGCCGCTCCTCCACCTGCTCCGCTCCACAAGCGCATTAAGGGCTCGGCCGGGCCGCCTGCCCGCTGTCCCCCGCCCGTGTGTGCGTGTCCCCGGGAGCCCTCCGAGCAGGCTCGGGCAGCCGCGGTACCTGCGCGGCGGCGGGCGGCGGGCCCCGCTCGTAGAGCGCGGCGGGCGCCCGTGTGCGCGGGTCGAGCGGCGTGCGGAGGCAGGAGGCGGCCAGCCGGGCGGCCCGGTGCGGGTCCTCCATGCCGAGAGCAGCCGGGAGGCGGCTCGGCTCCGCTCCACTCCGCTCCGTTCCGCTCCGCCTCGCGGAGGCGGCCCCGGGGCGGAGCGCGCTGTTAACGCCCGGCCCGAGCGCTGCCGCCGCCGCCGCCACGGGCGGGGCCGGGCCGGGCTCCGCCCGCTCGCCGCCGCTGCCCGTGCGGATTGCCAGGCGGCTTCTGGCAGGGTTTTAGTGGGAGCCGCCAATTCTCGCTGGCGACCCCGCGTTTTTCGCGCCCTCAAGTTATTAAAGAAGGTTTTTCCATCTTGAAGTGTGTACTTCAGGTAAGCAGTATCAGGCTTAAAGCAGGCTAAGCAGGAGCATTCTGTCCTAGCAATATTCTATCCTAAACCAGGCTAAGCAGGAGCATTCTGTCCTAGCAATATTCTATCCTAAACCAGGATAAACAGGAATATTTTGTCCTAGCAATATTCTATCCTTAACCAGGCTAAGCAGGAGCATTCTCTCCTAGGAATCCTAAATCAGAAGCAGGAATATTCTCTCCTAAACCAGGAGAAGCAGGAGCATTCTCTCCTAGGAATATTCTATCCTAAACCAGGAGAAGCAGGAGCATTCTGTCCTAGCAATATTCTATCCTAAATCAGGAGAAGCAGGAATATTCTCTCCTAAACCAAGAGAATCCTAAACCAGGAGAAGCAGGAATATTCTGTCCTAGGAATATTCTCTCCTAAACCAAGAGAAGCAGGCACATTCTGTCCTAGGAATATTCTATCCTAAACCAGGAGAAGCAGGAATATTCTGTCCTAGGAATATTCTCTCCTAAACCAAGAGAAGCAGGCGCATTCTGTCCTAGGAATATTCTATCCTAAACCAGGAGAAGCAGGAGCATTCTCTTCTAGGACTATTCTATCCTAAACCAGGAACATTCTGCCCTAGGACTGTTCTATCCTCTATCAGGACAAGCAGGAACATTCTTCCTCTACAAAGAGGAATTAATGCTGGATGGACCTGTTTAATGTAGTGAAATTACAAATACTTTTTGTGATGGAATCACACACTTGCTGTAATTCTTGTCAAGAATTTTAATTGTGATAATGGGGGATGAAAGCTTTAAGCATAGTACCTAAACTAAGATCATTGTTGGATGTGTGCCTGTGAGGTAAGGCACTATTTGTAATTTTAAACAGACAATTAATAATTAATGCAGAGCATTAATACCTAAATTGATTGTTTAATTTATTAATTAGTAGTTGAATTATTCTAGTTGTTCTACTTGGCAAGTAACAACAGCAGATCAACAGCATGGTGGAAATTCACTCAAAAGCTCCAGCTCCAACCAATCATGAATGGAAATGAGAGAAGAAATGGAACAGTCTCCTTTAAAGAGGAGGAATCGGGTTGTTTCAGTATAGCAATGATGGAGATGAAAGGGTTAATTCAATATGTCAGGCTAAGAATTAGAAGTTGGAAAGCTAATTTGCATTATTATAGAACAGTGTACTTTTAACTTCCCAGCCAGCTTTGGGAAAGGCAATTATTCTGGAGGCAGGGGAGGGAACCATGTGAAGAACACCCTCTGCAGGGCTCTGGATCATGGGATGGCAGCAGAATCACTGCAGAGCCCAGGAGAGCAAGGAGGGGAGGTGCTCCCACTGCAAAGATCCTCCTCCAGGCAGCACTGAGGGCAGAACCACCACTGCCTTAGGGAAACCTTTGGGAGAGGCAGCTCGAAGCTAGCTAAGTGTTACCAGCACTGCAAGGATGTTTTTAGAATATATCACAAGAGATGATCTGTCACCTTAAACGTTTCAGCCCTAAAGAGGAGCAGAGAAAAGCAAATGTAACCAAATGTAACAAACTCCAACAAAATGACACAGCAAAGAGTCAGGTAGACTACTGTGTGTTTATTGACAGAACAGCATTTTCTTTCTGAAAACCAACTGTTACTTAAGTTAAACCTGATCAAAGTACATCAGTCTTGCAGTTTAAGCCAATTCACACAGGTGCTTTTGGTGAGGAGTCCACACTCCAGCTGCAGGGCAGGAGCTCGAGACCATGGTCCCCACTTCTCTGCTCAGCTTATCCTCGAGTGTTCACCTGCAGGGAGGACACACAGTCAGGCAGAAGAAAGAACAGGATACATCACAATTCCTCCTATGACAATGATCCTGGCCTTTTAGGAACTCTAATTCCTTGATTTATGGTGCAGTATTTGTAACTCATTAGCTGCAGTTATTAAAAGGCTGAATGGTCTTAACCAGCACACAAACTGAGAATACTCTACACAGTAACTGCATTTTGAAGCCCAGCAGGTGAATGACAATGTGCTGGTGCTTGTGGAGGAAGGATAACCCAAGCCATGATGCCAGCACCACTCACCACATCATCAATCTTGAGAATGCTGCGCACGGTTTCTGTGGCCAGGGTCAGTGCACTCAAAGACACCAGCAGAGGCTGCACCACCAGCTCCTCCAGGATGTTGGAAATGCCACCCTAGGGGAACAAGGAGCCTTCACTTTGTACAAGACACACTACAGTCACATTTAGCACTTTTTCTTTTAGCAGAATCCTGAGGGCAATCAACTCCTGGACTGTCACAGGGCTTTCACCTGCAACAGGGGCATTACAGCACACATCTTCTCTCCCCAAGCACCTGACACATCCAGTCAAAATGAGCCAACAACAAAAAAAGCTGTGGTGCTACTCCCAAATTATGACCACCTTCCACTGCAGATCCTACTGATGGATCATTCTAAATGGATCTTTTGTTATAGCTGAAAGGCTTTTGTGGAGACATGAGATGATTCCTGTGTGTATAAAGCATTTAGTATCTGCTATTATCAATGCTCAGGGTGAGCTCCTGAGAGGACAAGCTGTAATTTCCCTCGGCTAATTTCAGCTTGCCCTCTCCCTAGTCCAGCCCTTAGGAGGTTAAGCATTTCCCCTGTAACACCCAGCTATTCCAACCCATCCTTACCTTCCTGACGTTAATGCCGGCTGTTTTCTCTCCTTGGGCATGTCTGTTTCGGAGCTCTGTCACCGTGGAGATGGGGTTGAGCCCCGCGTTCTCAGCCAAGGTGGAGGGAATGACCTCGAGGGCGTCCCCGTAGGCACGGACGCAGTAGGAGTCCATCCCCTTCAGCGTCCGCGCGTACTCGTTCAGCCGCAGCGCCAGCTCGATCTCCGGGGCTCCGCCGCCAGCAATCAGAGCCCTGAGGCACAGGGATGCCCATCAAACCTCACCTCACACCAGAGCACACACAAGCAGCTTTGGCAGTTACTAATTAACCCGACTGAGACGTTACCTTTTCTTCACTAAGCACCTTATGACACACAGGGCATCGTGAATGGAGCGCTCGGCTTCCTCCAGCACCAGTTTGTTGGATCCGCGGACCACGATGCTCACGGTTTTCCCAGGGTTTGTGCAGCCTGTAATCTAAAACATAAAACCAGATACTGACACTGGGGGAGAAGTAAAAACTTGGGACTAAAAGACACTGCCATTGGCACTTTCAAATTCTGTAACAGCACTTATGTCTGGCCAAGCAACACCACTGCACCACCGAAGTCAGTGGCTCCTCAGGTGCTTAAATGTAATAAATTCCACAGTAAAAAACATCAAAGCCACCAGTTCTTAAAATAACTGACAGATGTTAAGTAGTTATTAAACATTTTGTCCCTCACTCACCTTTATTAGTTTCCCAGAACCGTTCAAGTTGACCTCCTCTGCCAGCTCAGCAGAGCCCAGCATGTCAGGGGTGAACTGGTCAATGTGAGCCACAGGCTTAGTTCCAATTGTCTGAAAAAATAATGGGAAAAAAAATTAATCCAGAGGCTGACTGCAGAGTCAGCAAGTACACTGCATGTTGTTCTTCTGCACATGACAGTAAAAAGCAGAAGGGACTGTAGCTTTTACATCTGTCCTGAATCCTTCTACAGAAGTGTGGCTGCTCAGCAGAGCAGAAATGATTTTTAGAGCAATGTCTGCTCTTCCATTATAGTCAAAACATGAAACTTGTGAAAATGTCACAATAAACTGGCCTAGTTTTGGGGTATACTTTAAAACACTGCTTCTCCTTTATATGACCCACCTTACCTTACATATAAACTCAATGTCCTCTCTTTCAATGTCTTTAACCACCATGATCTTAACTTTGTTCAGAAAATGGAGCGCCAGGTCACTGAGAGCATCCCTGAAAATGAGAGGGAAGGAGTCAGGTCCCAGGGCTCAAATTCTTCAGAGTACAAAGTAAGGATACCATCAAACTCAAAACACAGACAGTGCTGCTGCTTTCTAAAGGCACAGCCACATTACTCTGCCAGGTGTGTTTGGCTTCAGTTTTCCACACAATTCCAACGGTGCCTGGGCATTAAGGTACCTCAGGATGGACTTCTGAATGAGCAGCACATTGCAGCCAGCCTTCTTGATCTGCTTCACCAGGTTCAGGATGTAGGCTCTCTCCTCACGCAGCACTCTGTCCATTTGAGCATAATCAGAAACAACGATCTGGTTGTCCATCTGTTTTAAATTAAGAAAGAGAAAAGCAGGTATCAAGATGTACCAGGTTCTTTAATGGAACGTGCTGTAATGCTAAACAAATAAACATAACAGAAAAATAGTACTAGAGACAGTTCAGGTAACACTGAATTTAAGTTTAAGCAATTTTTAACGTAATTTAAACATAATTTATAAACAATTTTTTATACCAACTGTAATTTTTTAGGACGCGCCAGTCCTTCACTCTAGTTGTGGCACAGAGTTGACACCACAGCATCTTAAAAAAAATTTGTTATTCCATTTGCTTGTCCCAAGTCCTAGAGAATGAGGATTTGTTCTAGCCACAGTCTGACTTACGTCTGTCTTTGGAGCAGACAAGCAGAACTGAATGAGGCCAATTTTGGCTTTTTCCACTCTGGTTACACCAGTGTTTGCCACCTTCTGAGTCAGGACGAGTCCCTCGACCAGTTCACAGTCATCAATTGTGCCCCTGGAAACAAACACAACCCATGACTGCAGCACCCTGGGAAACTGAGGTCACAGAGACAAAATCTGTCTAATTACAAGTTGTTTCTTACCCCAACTTCTTAACAATTTTAATATCTCTGAGGTCCACACTATTGGCTGTAGTTGGGTCAATCACCTTCATCACTGCATCCACACTCATTGGAGAAAGTAAACTGGAATACTGACACACAACCTAAGGGATTCAACAGCACAGAAACCATGGTGAGAGGCTTCACACTGATGAACAGCAGTTTCACAACATTGTTTCAATATTTGATGCCAGAATTTTGAAGCAAAGATGTCTTAAGGAATCTCCTTCATGGCTGCTCCATGGCATGGA